ATATAATGTATACACACACATATATATATATATGTGTGTGTATTCATTTATGTACATATATATATATACACATGTAAATATGTCCACGTATGGAACATGTGCATATATATATATACATTCATTCAGATTCAGCTTGAGTACGCAACCAACAAATATAATTGATGCTATATGATATTCGTGCATGGCTCGAGTGTGGTTGATGCTTGACGGATAGCCTATGTATGTATATAACATAATATTTTGCCAGTGGTGGCATACTGCGTCACTACGTGCTCACACCACTCAAACTTTTACTATATCCTTAGTACACTTTGTACCAGTTGAACCACAATATATACAACGTAATTCAATGCAAAAACGGAATACTAATCAATTCGTTCCCACGCAGCCAAAGCCGGATCTCACCAACTAGTTCACCCGTATTCTTCGAGCCTAGTACAGCAATAACGAATATTGATGCATGTTTCATAATTAACCACTGGAGTAATATCAACTAGGCAAATAGTCTTGCATGATGTTACCACCTGGATTCGCATTTGCTCTTCACTGACGGTCTGGCTGTTCCATCAGAAGATGTATTGCTATTCAACATGACACTACAGCTTTTGACGTAACAAGAGACGCTGCCATCGGCTACCATGGAATTGGACATCCGACTTTGGTGCCGCAAATATAATTGCATAACAAGGGTTACTCCAAAAGGGTGCCAACCGGGTTTCCCCTTCCTTTCTGTGACTGTTGGTGTGTTTGAAACATCGAAATCCCAAACGACGACGGGGGATTCCAGACCTAATCCAGCAAATCCCTTCAACTGTAGCCGGCGACTGCTCTAGATTACAAGCTCGCCCGGACAAACCGTTCCAGAGCCTTCATTGTTTCTTCAAGTACACAAGAGGTGCGAACCGTCGCAATTGCAAGCTTTGTAACATACGTGGTGGAGTTTTGGAGCACTGCCCAAACGCCGACAAGGTTCGCACACAAAGAGTGCAGGATGGCCGGCTGTAGAACACGTAAGATGTTTAGGGACGAGTCAAAGGAACGCACAACACGAGCAATACTCGACTTCAGCAGGCGAACGTGTCTCTGCTTCCGCAATGCCGTCGCTCTCCAGAAAGGTGGCGACAACACTGTTCTGTGCATTACCGGACAATTGATAATTCCGACACCTGAAGCCATAAACTCTGTCAATCCAACCACGGATAAACATGTTGTTGCCATCTTTGCTTCATGGCTCGCCCAAGATATCGCAAGCAGAGCCCATTTCGCAAAAAGGTTTGTGGGGACAGAACTCGGAATCTCCATCTCGTGATGCCAGGCGTTCCAGCCCAAAATGAGCGCAAACAATCGTGAACTGCAACCACGACCACCCCAAGCTTTCAGAGTTTGGGCTGGAAGTTGACTCTTTCCGTGTTAGATCAAGAAGGTCTGGGGGAGAGAGGAGAGGGTGGGGAGAGGAGAGAGGGCTGGAGAGGGGTGAAGGGGAGAGGGAGGGGAGAGGGAGGGTCTCAGACTGTTGCTTGGAACAAGTGCTGAAACATGCTGAAACACTTCATGCAAACTGGCAAGCCCTGTCCAGGATCAAATCTCGCTCGCACTGCGAGAAAACGGCGAGGTAATGACTGGCCAAGTCAGAGCGAGTCCGTAGAACGAAATCCAATCGGCTCTTTATGGAAAAGTCTCGAATCTCGCACGCAACACCAGATAAATTTTCGAGCTTCATCAATGTGTGGCTCAACCTGACAGCGGACCGCTACTGGCAGCTATCTGCATCGGATGAGTGGTCTTTCAGAATCGGAAGCCCCCGACGAATTCATCGCCGGTGTCCCTTAGCCGAACGGAACATGCTTTGATCTTGGGACCTTTAAACTCCAATCCGTGATCATGAGATTTGCCTGATTTGCCTTGACACTACGCAAGTATGCAGGACAACTGCGCCCTGCATGCACACTTAGCCCGGAGCAGCATGGACAGGAATGGTGTCAAGATGGCATATTGCTCATCGGAACTGTCGAGAGGTGTCTCTCTCTCTTTCTCTCTATCTATCCCTCTCTCTCTCACCCCATATCTGATGAGCTTCTGAAGTTTGCATGCGGCAGCTCCTGGCCTAAACTTCACGAGAAACTCTGCCAATTGCTCGGTGACTTCTTGGACCTGACCGTGGGCAATTCATCTGTGAGTTCCATGCTTTGTACACGCACCTTGTCCACTGATGCGGCGTTGCTCAGCTCATCTTCGACTGCCTGTTGGGACCCGCAGTTAAGGGTTCAGCACGCGGGGGCTTCAACCCTGAATCCCTCATCCGCAGGCTCAAGTGGGAAAGACAAAACAAGCTCAGCCATGAACAGGCTCCACATGACACGTCATTCACCGAAGTCCAAAGCCCCGGTGATCCGAGGCCCAGCAAAGAGAGGTCCTGCTCTAAGAGTTTCTGAGGCCACCTTCTAGCTCGGCATTCATACACTCAAGTTCAACAGGAGTTCCTGTACCCTCACGGCCTCACATTCACTGAACAAGTGTCAAGCTCCTAATTCAGAGCGTGCTGGCGTAGGACGTGTCCGAATTGTCATTGGGTCCTTTTTCGGCTGGGCCTCTGTCGGACTTGCAATTGCCTTATTTCACGCACTCTCGAGTCTCACCTCTTCGCTGTTGCATTTGAGTCTCTGGAGTTCTCATGTCTGCAGAGCTTGTGGTTGTCTTGCTGCTAGTGGAAGGACACCTGCATTCAGACACCCTTCACCTCTGCATCATTCCACTGGCCTTTCGCCTGTCGTCTCATCTGCACTCTCTTTCGCCTCTGCACTTTTGGACACTGCAGTTGCCTCTGCACTCTTCGACTCTGAACTCATTTTCCTTTTTGTTGTTGGTCTTGGTGTCGGCAATGCAGTCTCTATCCCTGTTTTTGGTGTTTTTGCGGAAACAAAAGATGTCTTTGGGCAGCATCGCAAGAGCGTGCTCGAGATTTAGCCGCGAAAGCTAGTGGAACTAAGGATGCGGATGAGCAAACATGCAAACCCGAAAGTTCTCCTGCACTGCATAACTTGATCTTGATGAGTTCTCACTATCTTACTTCAATCGTCTGATTCCGTGTGTTGCTATAGTTCTCGCTCGACCAGGAAGCTTGCTGTAGCATCGTGGCCACCGGACACTTGTGGTCTGACTTCCTTCACAGTTGTGTCGCGGCTTCCACCGAGGTCCACCTCCATCACGACAAGCCGTGAGCGGAACCGACGAGTGCGACCCTTTGCACACTTCGGAGACGTGACGACTCGGCCCGTCGGTGGGGGACGTCCCGGCGCCCCCAGCGGATTACCGTTTCGGCTTCTGTTGGCTCATTTGGCTCCCAGGGAGAGTATGGCTTCTGCACTGACAAGACTGACAAGCTCGGCCTCTCGGCCTCTCGGCCCTGGGCCGAATCTAAGGCCCTGACGCCGGGCCTCTCGGCCTCTGTGCGGCCAAGACCTGGGAGTGCCACTTGGCGAATCTTAGGGCTTTTGGAGTTCGCGATCTCGCCCGAGACACCAACTTCCTGTGCTTTGCATCGTTGAATCGAAGGTCGCAACCTGCAATATCCGATGAAGCTGCCAGAACAGGAAATTTCGGCACGCCATTTGTTCAGCGCATGCTGAGACCACGGCTGCTTCTGCAATTCCAAAGCTCGGGGCATCCTGGTCGATTACTGATCAGATATCAAGAACTTCTAATAACTAATCCAACACCCATCAATACCCATCATCCTGTCACTCAGGTCACTTTAATCTGACACAAGCTCCAGACACGTAGCAGTTCAGGCCTGATTTTCTTGGCTTTCATTTGCCATGATGCTCTCTGCCCCAGGTTGGTTCCAAAGAGCTGTAGCAAGGCTGATCGAATAAGCTTAAGGGTACGGTAGTGGCTGTATGGCCGAGCGCTTCGTGCCGAGAGTGTCCGGCCTGCGACATGTCTATCTCACAGCATATTGGAGGGCCACATTTTGCATTTTTTGGGCCTGGAGCGAGCATCAAGTCTTACCTCTGCGGTAAGATCTGAACAATGCACTTTCAACAGGTTCCTTGTCCCGCCGTCTTTTTCTCGTGCCACTTTGCTTGTTGCAAGCTCCAGCCGCCCAGGATAGTCAAGAAAAGGCCGAACCTGAGTGAATGTTCAGAACTCAGTCACAACTTTACTACAACATAAACACCATCCGGGAATAAAGAACATCCACACAGTGCCAAAGCCGAGCTGGGGAATCGTGTCTCTCCCAAGCAGCACGTGCAACATGCTGAAGGGCTTGGGGAAGAAGAAATAGGAAAACACGAAAGTAATCCTTAGCTTCGATATCGGAGATCGAGCATATCACTGCTAATTCAAGATATTGCGATGTAGGGTCGCCTTCCTCCCAGAGCACACAACGTTCGCTCGCGTGGCATCAAACTCCTGTGTAATGCACATCACGGCTTCTAGACCTGAGCTGCTCTGCAATCCTCTGCATCATGCATGGATAACAAGGGTGTCGCGGGAAACACCGATGAGCGGCATGAATCCCCTGCACGTCCGCATGTCGAATCCTTAAGACTGCGACCCAAGTATGTGAGCACATTGTCCAGGCACGTGTAGAATGCAGCAGATCGGTTGCGAAGGTACCATCGCACGGCATCCGAACACTCCTTGAGATATCGAATTTTACTGCTCTGTCACTTTGGGATGCTTATGAGGAGCGGTTGGATCCCCTACTGCAATCGCAGATGGTGCATCACGATGCTACAGATTCTACAGATCTACGACCGAACGTGGGAGTGTATTTGACAGTTCTTACAAACTACATAAGCTCGCTATCCGCATGGAGCCACCGTTGAATTCCGTTGCGCAGGGCTTCAGGGCCACACAGAGTGCTTCGGATTGCGTTACCGCTTGCGTTTCCGCTTCCCAAGGCTCGCCAGTGACTGATGTCTGCAAGAAGAGCACGACTGAGGCTGTCGCCTAAGTGCTCAAAAGGGATCAACAGGGTTCCGACGGCAGCACGCGGCGACTCACCAAACGCGTCCTGGCCGCATACTGTACCAACATGAGACCACGCACAGAAGGTGCCTCGAGACAGAGACTAATATTGTAGATGCCTTTCGCATGCGTCTGAGCCAAGCCAGGCTCAGGGCGCCGCAGGTGTCGCCACGCTCGCTGATGGCTGCAAAACGCTTTGCTGCAAGTTTGCCGTCAACGTGCTGCCCGCCAGATTAACGGCAATGAAAACAATCCTCGAGTGCCAAAGCAATTCACTGTGTCACTATGCCACCATGTGCAACACGCAGCGAAGCCAGAATCCACGCAAGCTGCCCCAGCACTGTAAACCGCGCCGACTCCAGTCCATCTCCAAGGGCAAACAGGAGTAACCCGCTCCTCACAGACACATCCGCAGCAACACCTGTTACCGCACGAACGAGCCAGCTGCAACCCCGGCACATCATGCAAAGGGCCCAAAAGAGCTCGCGAGCTGTCAAACCCGTTCTGTTGATCCATCTGGCGCCGAGCAAGACCTCAATCGTGGGGGAGTGCCTGATCATGCCTGACATAATGCTGCATTTGTCGCCTGCACGGCATCTGCGCCAGGAGACACTGGGCACTTTTGCGCTCTTGAAGACCATGGCTGTCGTGTAATTGATGTAGATGTACGACAGAATTCCACAGCCATGGGAAACCTTGGCGCCAGTAAGCCAATAGCATGTCGTCTTCTCAGAACTCCACTCATACTGTTCACCAGTTCACTTCGCGTAGCGAAGCAACCCATCCGAAGGAAAACTTGAATGCAGTCTGATGCTGTAAGGTTCACAGACACGTGCGTTTAAGCATTGTCTACAGTTGGCCGGGGACCCCCGCATGGCCTTCAGAAATCGCCACCGAGGCACATGCTACGTGGGGCAGCCACGACCCTACCACTGTCACCCCAGATGTAAATAGCCGGCGCTCACTCTGGTGTAGGCCGACAGCTGTGCACATCCTGCTCTGCTCGAGGCATGGGTGTAACCACAAGAAGGAACACGAGCGAGAACCACAACAAGAAACGCAGGAACCACAACAAGAAATGTAGGAAACAGGACAGCGAATTGAGGAATCAGAACGGCAAG